ATCGAATACATCGAATACGTTATCGAATACGTTATCGAATACATCGAATACGTCTCCCCTATCTATATCGAATACGTTATCGAATACATCGAACACGTCTCCCCTATATATATTTATTCTATTTATTCTCTAGAGCCTGCGCTCTAGAGAATAGAAATTAAAAAAAGATTAAAGCAATCCCAATGATTTAGATGTTTTATTAAGTGAATTCAAACAGTAAAAGTTCTTTGCAGGTTCTTCAGGTCAGCTATTTCTCCAGCTTTGAATTGGGCTGTTACTGTGCAACAATATTCCGCCCTAGAGAGCACTAGTGGTTTAATACACTACTAGTGCACCATCACTGGTCTAGCTCTCTTACATGAACGGTTCTTGTTATCCAACCTGTCATTTTTCTTGCAGTTGTGACGGCTACTATATTGTGTTCATTAAAAGTAAGGTCTTCCGACATGATTACTTCTAAATCTTGCATATTACTTTTTAGTTCTATAGTTTGGTTTGACTGCGTTTCATATGTGGTGTCCGTTTTTCAACCCGTTCTCGCAAATTCGTAAAGTCAATATTGACTTATTAAATAAGTGCATAGGTGACATACTAAACATAATAGATACCCTTAAAAAGCTTCATAGAAAACACCGACCTTACCTAACCTTGTTAGTATCTTAAGATAAGCATCTTATAGCTTCGTAATTACAATTGTTACTTAACCTATTATAGGTATAGGTTAAGTAATAATTGTAATTACAAAGCAATAAGATGCTTATCTTAACATACTAACAAGGTTAGGTAAGGTCGGTGTTTTCTATGAAGCTTTTTAAGGGTATCTATTATGTTTAGTATGTCACCTATGCACGTAGTTAATAAGTCAATATTGACTATACGAATTTGCGAGAACGGGTTGCCGTTTTTATAGTTTTATAGCGCAAAAGCTGGAATTTTTCTTCATTAAACATCATATTATTATCTGTGGCCCATTGAAAGACCCGATTAACATCACAGTGGAGGTGTGCTGAGTCCTCTATGATGTCTGCTTTTATACAAATCCTAGGATATCTACGGTTTTTCATTACCCTTATCTTATAAGTACCCTTATCAAGAAACTAGATGTTTAGCTCACTGGCCAAACTATCAGTGACCTCTTTAATGGCTAAGACAGAAAGAGATGCCTCTACACGAGGCAATTTAATATTTGAATCACCAATGTAACATGATTGAATGAATTTATATATATAAAAAGGAGACAAACAGCATATATTCTGCATCAATTCTGACTTGATTGAAGGCATTTGTAAAATAGAGCTTAACTAAAGCCTTCTGGTCTGTAAAATTGGCATCGTATGCTCCCGGATCGTGTGAAGCAGCTACACAGGTCAGAGGTGGTCAATTCTGGTCCCAAACTAGCAATAATCTTTTGAAAAATTATCTAGCGTGCCCAAGGGTTTTTTCAAACCGCAGATTATAATTTATTATTCTATTTGTATTTTACTATTTTGTTATGGAGAAAGAGAAGAAAATGCTTGAACTCTTTCTTTAAAAAGTGTGTTCAGGCAACCAGTAACTCTTGTGAGTTGTATTAGATGATACAGCTGTTGGAATTATATGTTATTAGTGTCTAGTAATTCCTGAGAAGTCAAGTTAATTCATTAGTAACAACAATAATACACTTTTTTGAGGAAAACATATTCTTTAACTTTTTATAAAGTTTTTAGAATTTAGAAAAGTATTTAAAAAGCCTGTTAAAAATTATTAATGTAAACTTTTTAACAAAACGTTTTGTTAAAAAATAAAAATTGTTTTGTTAAAAGCCATTACGACTATATAGCACTTGGAATTTGGATCAGGATAAGGATTTGAGATGGAACGGAGGGAGAAAGGAATAGTTACTACTATCTAAACCACTTGTTTGGATAGTAGTAACTATGTGGCCCATAGTACACATATTGACGTAATAGACAACTAGAATTTGGTACTATTCACTTCATAGAGTCCAGAAGAAAATAGAGCTAAAACCAAACTTAAATATTCCTAGCCCTATTATAGCACATATAGGAAGATATATATAAATGTGTATATATATATATATATATATATATATATATATATATATATATATATATATATATATATATATATATATATATATATATATATAGTAAATAAAAGCGAGACTGAAGCACAACCCACCGCAGGGAGCTACTGGAAAATTGCAACAGAATGAACAATAAAGTTTTCCCAGGAACACGTAATGGCGGGCAGACTTTAAGGCTGGAGTCGGCGGGTAACAGGGCGAGACTCTCGACCCTGCCGCCGGCCCACAGGTATACAAGTTTCAGGTCAACAAGCGTCAAATTACCGACTCACCCGCAGGCCCGACCCGAACACCGAGTCGTGACAGGCTTTTAAATTCGAATGGTCTTTGAAAGCTGGTGAACGTGAGGGAGGAGGAGGAGGAATAGGTAGTGGGGGGTAGTAGTGGGTGTCGCAAAGGAGTGAATAAGGAGGAGGAATAGGTAGTGGGGGGTAGTAGTGGGTGTCGCAAAGGAGTGAATAAGGAGGAGGAATAGGTAGTGGGGGGTAGTAGTGGGTGTCGCAAAGGAGTGAATAAGGAGGAGGAATAGGTAGTGGGGGGTAGTAGTGGGTGTCGCAAAGGAGTGAATAAGGAGGAGGAATAGGTAGTGGGGGGTAGTAGTGGGTGTCGCAAAGGAGTGAATAAGGAGGAGGAATAGGTAGTGGGGGGTAGTAGTGGGTGTCGCAAAGGAGTGAATAAGGAGGAGGAATAGGTAGTGGGGGGGTAGTAGTGGGTGTCGCAAAGGAGTGAATAAGGAGGAGGAATAGGTAGTGGGGGGTAGTAGTGGGTGTCGCAAAGGAGTAAATAAGGAGAAGGAGAAGGAAGAGGAGGGGGTGCAATGCTTGAAGAACTTGCCTTGCAGGAGACGACTCCGTAGTTGACCTTGTGGGGCGGGTCTTACCTGTGGAAGAAAACACGAGGTGGGTTAGAATTGTAGTCATCTACATGCACTGGCTTAGTACCTAAGGCTACGTACACTGGCTAAGTGCTTAAAACTACGTACACTGGCTTAGTACCTAAGGCTACGTACACTGGCTTAGTACCTAAAGTTACGTACACTGGCTTAGTACCTAAGGCTACATACACTGGCTTAGTACCTAAAGTTACGTACACTGGCTTAGTACCGAAAGTTACGTACACTGGCTTAGTACCTAAGGCTACATACACTGGCTTAGTACCTAAAGTTACGTACACTGGCTTAGTACCTAAGGCTACATACACTGGCTTAGTACCTAAAGTTACGTACACTGGCTTAGTACCTAAGGCTACATACACTGGCTTAGTACCTAAAGTTACGTACACTGGCTTAGTACCTAAAGTTACGTACACTGGCTTAGTACCTAAAGTTTCGTACACTGGCTTAGTACCTAAGGCTACATACACTGGCTTAGTACCTAAAGTTTCGTACACTGGCTTAGTACCTAAAGTTTCGTACACTGGCTTAGTACCTAAAGTTACGTACACTGGCTTAGTACCTAAAGTTACGTACACTGGCTTAGTACCTAAAGTTACGTACACTGGTTTAGTACCTAAAGTTACGTACACTGGCTTAGTACCTAAGGCTACATACACTGGCTTAGTACCTAAAGTTACGTACACTGGCTTAGTACCTAAAGTTACGTACACTGGCTTAGTACCTAAAGTTTCGTACACTGGCTTAGTACCTAAAGTTACGTACACTGGCTTAGTACCTAAAGTTACGTACACTGGCTTAGTACCTAAAGTTACGTACACTGGTTTAGTACCTAAAGTTACGTACACTGGCTTAGTACCTAAAGTTACGTACACTGGCTTAGTACCTAAAGTTACGTACACTGGTTTAGTACCTAATTCTAAGTTCCAGCAGTTATAGTGAAGCCTTGATGGGTGTTGTGACAACCTGTTCTATGCGCACCAAGAGACTCTTGTTATAAAAATTGTCATCTTCACTTCCGTGGAAATAAACTTTCCTTATTAAGAACTACTCATAGCCCAGTCGATAGAGCTTCGGCCTCACAACTTAGGGTCCAGCGTTCGAGTCTCCTAGAGCCCAGGTGAATGAAGGGAAGGGAACTATCAGGGGGGAAAGCGCCAAGTCATTATGACTATATAGCATTGGGAAGGGGTTAGGATAAGGATTTGGGATGGGACGGGGAAAAGGAATGGTGCCCAACCACTTGGTGGACAGTCGGAGATTGAACACCGACCTGCATGAAGTGAGACCGTCGCTCTACCGTCCAGCCCAAGACTGTTGATGTTTAGAATACAGAGCTGCTGGCTCTATTGGTAAGAGGATGCATGAACGAATTAAATAACTCGATGCCTACTTCTCCCAAAGTTTAACATGGTTTCTTAAATGGTCGACATCTGTCCAGAGGGATCAAGCTGGGGTCCAAATGGGCCAAGCTGGGGTCCAAATGGGCCAAGCTGGGGTCCAAATGGGCCAAGCTGGGGTCCAAAGGAGCCAAGCTGGGGTCCAAGGGGGGCCAAGCTGGGGTCGGGCCAAGCTGGGGTTCAAAGGGGCCAAGCTGGGGTCCAAAGGGGCCAAGCTGGGGTCCAAAGGGGCCAAGCTGGGGTCCAAAGGGGACCAAGCTGGGGTCCAAAGGAGCCAAGCTGGGGTCCAAAGGAGCCAAGCTGGGGTCCAAAGGAGCCAAGCTGGGGTCCAAAGGGCCCAAGCTGGGGTTCAAACGGGCCAAGCTGGGGTCCAAAGGGGGCAAGCTGGGGTCCAAAGGGGCCAAGCTGGGGGTTCCAAAGGAGCCAAGCTAGGGTCCAAAGGGGGCAAGCTGGGGTCCAAAGGGGCCAAGCTGGGGGTTCCAAAGGAGCCAAGCTGGGGGTTCCAAAGGGGCCAAACTGGGGTCCAAAGCGGGAATCTATGCTATAAAATGTTCCAAAACTTGTTCTCTCACCCACGGTGGAAATAAATAACATTTCTCATCAGACTTGATGAGGGTGTGGAATGGGGCAGGAAAGGTGGTGGTGGTTCGATGCACGCACAGGTGTCCTCATCCCTGTGTCAGTCTTTTTACTCTTGTCAGCACCGACGGACCTGGTAAAGGCTGACCCAGGTAAACTTGACAGGGTAAAGGCTGACCTAGATAAACTTGACAGGGTACAGAATGACCCAGATAAACTTGACAGGGTACAGAATGACCCAGATAATCTTGACAGGGTACAGAATGACCCAGATAAACTTGACAGGGTACAGAATGACCCAGATAATCTTGACAGGGTACAGAATGACCCAGATAAACTTGACAGGGTACAGAATGACTCAGGTAAACTTGACAGGGTACAGAATGACTCAGGTAAACTTGACAGGGTACAGAATGACTCAGGTAAACTTGACAGGGTACAGAATGACTCAGGTAAACTTGACAGGGTACAGAATGACCCAGGTAAACTTGACAGGGAACAGAATGACCCAGGTAAACTTGACAGGGTACAGAATGACTCAGGTAAACTTGACAGGGTACAGAATGACTCAGGTAACTTGACAGGGTACAGAATGACCCAGGTAAACTTGACAGGGTACAGAATGACTCAGGTAAACTTGACAGGGTACAGAATGACTCAGGTAACTTGACAGGGTACAGAATGACCCACGTAAACTTGACAGGGTACAGAATGACCCAGATAAACTTGACAGGGTACAGAATGACCCAGATAAACTTGACAGGGTACCGAATGGCCCAGGTAAACTTGATAGGGTACAGAATGACCCAGATAAACTTGACAGGGTACAGAATGACCCAGATAAACTTGACAGGGTACCGAATGACTCAGGTAAACTTGACAGGGTATAGAATGACCCAGGTAAACTTGACAGGGTACAGAATGACTCAGGTAAACTTGACAGGGTACGGAATGACTCAGGTAAACTTGACAGGGTACAGAATGACCAGGTAAACTTGACAGGGTACAGAATGACCAGGTAAACTTGACAGGGTACAGAATGGCCCAGATAAACTTGACAGGGTACAGAATGACCCAGATAAACTTGGCAGGGTACAGAATGACTCAGGTAAACTTGACGGGGTACAGAATAACCCAGATAAACTTGACAGGGTACATAATGACACAGGTAAACTTGACAGGGTACAGAATGACTCAGGTAAACTTGACAGGGTACAGAATGACCCAAGTAAACTTGACAGGGTACAGAATGACCCAGGTAAACTTGACAGGGTACAGAATGACCCAGGTAAACTTGACAGGGTACAGAATGACTCAGGTAAACTTGACAGGGTACAGAATGACTCAGGTAAACTTGACAGGGTACAGAATGACACAGGTAAACTTGACAGGGTACAGAATGACCCAGATAAACTTGACAGGGTACAGAATGACTCAGGTAAACTTGACAGGGTACAGAATGACTCAGGTAAACTTGACAGGGTACAGAATGACACAGGTAAACTTGACAGGGTACAGAATGACCCAGATAAACTTGACAGGGTACAGAATGACTCAGGTAAACTTGACAGGGTACAGAATGACTCAGGTAAACTTGGCAGGGTACAGAATGACCCAGATAAACTTGACAGGGTACAGAATGACCCAGGTAAACTTGACAGGGTACACAACCCCCCAGTGTTACTCAATCACTAAAATTATTTACCAAATTCCCCGAACCTAACCTAACCGTGGATCCGCGAAAAGAAAACGGGTCATCAAGTCAATTTTTGCGAGCCCGCTGTGATGTTTAGCACTATATTACTCTGACGTTGGGGATTTATAGCGTCAGAATACGACGTGTTATGACATGAACTAGACAACATAATATGTTAGATTAAGAAAGATTATTTTATATTCCAAACGAAGGAGAAGAGAGAGCAGTGACACGCCTGGTGTTGATGCTGATTTAAAGTGCCACATAGGGGCTTGTACTCAAGGTAAAGTGCAACATAGGGGCTGGCACTCAAGGCAAAGTGCAACATAGGGGCTTGTACTCAAGGTAAAGTGCAACATGGGGGCTTGTACTCAAGGTAAAGTGCAACATAGGGGCTGGCACTCAAGGCAAAGTGCAACATAGGGGCTTGTACCCAAGGTAAAGTGCAACATAGAGGCTTGTACTCAAGGTAAAGTGCAACATAGGGGCTGGCACTCAAGGTAAAGTGCAACATAGGGGCTGGCACTCAAGGTAAAGTGCAACACATGGGCTTGTACTCAAGGTAAAGTGCAACATATGGGCTTGTACTCAAGGTAAAGTGCAACATAGGGGCTTGTACTCAAGGCAAAGTGCAACATAGGGGCTTGTACTCAAGGCAAAGTGCAACATAGGGGCTGACACTCAAGGCAAAGTGCAACATAGGGGCTTGTACTCAAGGTAAAGTGCAACATAGGGGCTTGTACTCAAGGTAAAGTGCAACATTGGGGCTTGTACTCAAGGTAAAGTGCAACATAGGGGCTTGTACTCAAGGTAAAGTGCAACATAAGGGCTTGTACTCAAGGTAAAGTGCAACATAGGGGCTTGTACTTAGGTAAAGTGCAACATTGGGGCTTGTACTCAAGGTAAAGTGCAACATGGGGGCTTGCACTCAAGGTAAAGTGCAACATAGGGGCTTGTACTCAAGGTAAAGTGCAACATAGGGGCTTGTACCCAAGGTAAAGTGCAACATATGGGCTTGTACTCAAGGTAAAGTGCAACATAGAGGCTTGTACCCAAGGTAAAGTGCAACATAGGGGCTGGCACTCAAGGTAAAGTGCCACATAGGGCTGGCACTCAAGGTAAAGTGCAACATAGGGACTTGTACTCAAGGTAAAGTGCAACATAGGGCTGGCACTCAAGGTAAAGTGCAATATAGGGGCTGGCACTCAAGGTACAGTGCAACACAGGGGCTGACACTCAAGGTAAAGTGCAACATATGGGCTGGCACTCAAGGTAAAGTGCAACATAGGGGCTGGCACTCAAGGTAAAGTGCAACATAGGGGCTTGTACTCAAGGTAAAGTGCAAAATAATGACAAAAATTATACAATTTAATAACTTATTTATTAAATTTATACAATATGACAATTAACAATATCATCATTTAACTAGAATTAAAAATAATCAACAGGCGTTTAACACAAATAACTAATTTTAGTCACGATTTTAACAAAATTAACAAGAATTTTCAGGCAAAAACGGAAAAGACGAAGAAACACATCATAATTTTACAAGACTCTGACACTGACGGGAAAATATCAACGAACAATAAACGCAGAAGAGAGCTAACGAGACACACATAACAACGCTGGAATTAACGAAACGCAGGAATGACTGAGAATTAGCTTAGAAATGACATGAAAACATAAAAATCGGCCATTACCGCGCAGGAATTAGTTTAGAAATCAGCAAAAATTATCTGGAGAATTAACCTTTAGAGTTAACGAGGGAGTAATTAACGAGAGGGAAATTAACAAGAGGAGGGGGGGGGGTGGGATCGTTAAGAGAGAGAACTGAAGAGTAGAGGAGGAATATGTGAGTGATTAAGGGGAGGCTGTTGTAGTATGGCCAGTGGTGGATTACCATGTGTAGGGAGACTTAAGACCAGGGCTGACGACCTGGGCTGATGTCCGCCCAGGACACCGGTGTTGGGCTACTGTCCAGCCTACTCTCTATCGCTTCCTGCAGGTCGACGTTCAATCCCCGACTGTCCAAGTATTGGGCACCATTCCTTCCCCGCGTCCCATCCCAAATTCTTATCCTAACCCCTTCCCAGTGTGTTACGGACCCGAGTCCAGCGTCGGAGCACGGAGCAGTGACGACAACGCCATCTGTGAGTCGCCAGCCGAAAACCCCGCAACATGGACAACGCCATCTAGCGAGGACGGGATATACCGGCCACAGGTGTTGGATTCCCGTCTTAATCAGCTCATAACGTAGCCGCTGCTGACCTCTGGTGAGGTGGCGCTTAGAAAGTAAACGCCATCTATGGAGCAAATAGGTGGACGTTTCTGTCTAAGCTAGTAAGTGATGTTTCCTAGTGACCCCATGTAGTATCCCCAGTACTAATGACGTGTCTGATTACAGAGTCGACCTGGGACTGCTGTATTGGACGATGGATCAGTCTATCCAAGGCAGCCAAGGTCTCTTCACCAGTCTGCTTTGAAGAAGCTGTAAGTCACCCCCGGACGAACTCTGTTGAGAGTATAATAGCCTGCCTGTGACGTGGCAGTGTCGGGAATCGCCTTATCCGGGGCTGGCTGGTGGAAGAGACTAGCCACTGTGGTGCTTAGTGAGGAGAGTGATCAGCTCCAGCTCCAGCTCCATCATCAGTCCAAGCGATGTTAAAAGCTCTGTACCTCAAGGTACAGTCCTTGCACCGCTACTGTTCCTTATTCTCATATCTGATATAGACAAAAATACACGCCACAGCTTCGTGTCGTCCTTTGCAGATTAGAGGGAATACAGAGAACATATACGGCACGCATAGACGAGATAAAACACCTAAATTATTGGGATCGTCTCAAAGCTCTCCAAATGTACTCTCTAGAAAGGAGACGAGAGAGATACCAAATAATATACACCTGGAAAATACTGGAGGGTCAGGTCCCAAATCTACACAGTAAAATAACAACGTACTGGAGTGAACGATATGGAAGAAAATGCAAGATTGAACCTGTGAAGAGCAGAGGTGTCATAGGCACAATCAGAGAGCACTGTATAAACATCAGGGGTCCGCGGTTGTTCAACGTCCTCCCAGCGAGCATAAGAAATATTGCCGGAACAACCGTGGACATCTTCAAGAGAAAACTGGACGGTTTTCTAAGAGAAGTTCCGGATCAGCCGGGCTGTGGTGGGTACGTGGCCCTGCGGGCCGCTCCAAGCAACAGCCTGGTGGACCAAACTCTCACAAGTCGAGCCTGGCCTCGGGCCGGGCTTGGGGAGTAGAAGAACTCCCAGAACCCCATCAACCAGGTATCAACCAACCAGGTATCAACCAGCTGGATCACACGAGGCTCCTGCCTAGGGCTCGCAACCCTAGTATCGGTCGTGGAGTGGCCTATACAGCGGAGCTGATCGGTACCTGCCAGCTACAGGCTGGATTGTGGTTGAAGGCCTCCACGACGGAGCACTCAGTGGGACGGTGATTTGGCTGGCCTGTGGCCAGGGTAGATTCGTCATAGAATCATAGAGGATTCATCGTGGGCCACGGAGGAAGGAACCAGGGCTACCCAAAGTGTGCATCGTGGAGCATCCAGTGTCTTCGGAGGAAGACAACCTTGTACATAATCGTGTAGTGATAACCCCCGTGTGCAACTGTTATATATTTATTTATGGTGGTGGTGAATATATATATATAAATTGGAACATTTGTATCCCTCCCCCTTTAATTTAACTTGCATTACGGAACACACCCCTTGAAAGCCTCTACTAACTTGGGGCCGGATACCCAAACTCTACTACCATCAGAGTAGAACCCGGTTGCGTCCCAGTAGGGCCGTAACACAGTGCTATAGTCGTAATGGCTTGGTGCTTTTCCCTGATAGTTCCCTTCCCTTCCTAACCAGAAATGAGCGAACCCAAGCAACCCCCTAACCTAACTTAACCTAACTTAACCTATCGAGTATGATGTGAGTCCGATGCACAGAAAACGGAGAGATTTGTGACCAGTTACTTTTTTACATTACTATAACGTAAATAACACGACCTACTTATTTAGAGAACAGGTTTAACTCCTAAGATGCGTCTTGCAGCTGTAAGGCGTTTGAAGGTTAAATATAACAAGAACATTATCAACAAACACAAAATTAACAAATGTTAAATTAGCAACAGCGTTCAGTTAAACATAAAATATCAAGAAGGAAATTAGCATGAGATAAAGTAACAATTTAAAGATATACAATAACCAGCAGGAGATAAATTAACAATGATAATATTAACATATCAACAAGAGGAAGGTAATTAATGAGAATTTTTTTTTTTTTTTTTTTTGAGATATATACAAGAGTTGTTACATTCTTGTAGAGCCACTAGTACGCGTAGCGTTTCGGGCAGGTCCTTAATCCTATGGTCCCTGGAATACGATCCCCTGCCGCGAAGAATCGTTTTTTCATCCAAGTACACATTTTACTGTTGCGTTAAACAGAGGCTACAGTTAAGGAATTGCGCCCAGTAAATCCTCCCCGGCCAGGATACGAACCCATGACATAGCGCTCGCGGAACGCCAGGCGAGTGTCTTACCACTACACCACGGAGACTGTGATTAAAACGATCATATAATTAACGACAAACTAATAAAAAAATTAGAACAAATAAAATAAACGAACTCTAAGCTAACGAACAGGGACACGAATAAACTACTAACGAACAGCGAAAATGACGGTTAACGATAAACGAAGAGAGATTGAAATTTGTTAAATATAGACAAGG